ATACCAAAGATGTTATCTATCCGTTATTATTTCTATTTTTATTTCATACTTTGACTTTTTAGCACTTTTATTATAGTAAATAACAGCACAATTTTGCACCTTTGTTCTTCTACCTGCACGATTTGCACGTTACTTTGCATATCTATCTATCTATCTATCTATCTATGAAGCAGGAAACCACAAGTATACAGTATGAATAATAAAGATTTAAATACTTGCCAATTAATTTTTAATCGACTAAATACTCTGTTTGTCATTTTAGCTCCATCTGCTATTGATTGAAGGCTACGTTTCACTTCAGCTGGCTGTCACTCAGATTAATTGCATGTTCTGATGTCTTCACATGAACCATTTAGATCACTTACAACAACAACATCCCCTCCCTGATATCTGATTTTATATCTGTGAACAGAGACAGGTTACAGAAATCCATGCTGTCAGGAATTCAGCATTTCATTCCTGCTGACTTGCACCTGTTTAGGATGACAAACATTATACTAATTGCCAATTAAAGATAAGATAATAAAGACTTGAGAGGATGGGTTTGGCCTCCAGAGGGATCTCTGGTTTCACGTCTCAGATGCCATCATAAGCAGATAAGAAAACGCTTTTCCCTCATAATGCACTGGAGGATTTACTGCAATCCTACACTGTGCCGATGCTCCGTGCATGCAGCGTTGCACACACACACACAGACTTCCTGCGGCGCCCTCTCGCGCCTCAGATGGTCAACGCAGTGCAGGAGAATTTAAAGGAACAGTTCGTAGAAATAGGACAAGCAATAAGTCGGCTTGAATGAAACTAGAAGAACAAGATAGAGATTTTTTTGCCTCCAAATCTTAAAAACCTGCTGAGCGTCTGCTGATTCGGAGCCTTGATGTCATATTAAACATCACAGAGTACAGAAGTACTGGCAAAGCCAACTGATTGAGTTAAGAAACAGAGTTTTCCTTTCATCGTTTTGCATACTGTGCAGCATCACAGTCGTGTTTCTTTAATACCTGTTAGGAAATCATTGCCGGTGTGGATCTGCTGTTTCCTGGAGACTTGAACAGTCTCCCTGCATCTCCTGCATGAACACCAAACTGATGTTCAAATGCAGTTTGCAGCCAACTGCACCACTTTGGACTATTTTTAACTCTGCTGTCGTGGCTCACTGTCAGCCTGCATATCATTAACTTCACACGCCACTCTGTGTACAAGTTCTATCAGCGCTGTCTGACAGCGGATAAAAAAGGTTGGATTGTTGTAGCGGAGCACAAAGTCAAATCAGGAAACTTGAATAGGAATCAAAACTTGTGTATTTCTGACTGTCATTTCACTCAGATGTTTGGCTTTCGACTGACACTAGAAGTCGGTTTTCACACTCGTGTGCACAACAGTCTCTACAGGCTCAAATTAAATATGAGTTTAAGCTATAAAGCAAGATTTTTTGACACCATAAAGAGCCAGTTGTAACTTAGATAGAAAGCTAAAGCATCCAGGACATAAACAATGAACAGCAAACTTATCAGTGAAGCAGCAAAGCATTTAAAATAAAAAATTGTTTTGATATCCATAGATTCTGGATGTTTCAGTGAACCAGAAGGAGTAGCTAAAAGTTAAAAACAAAAAAATAAAAGGCAATTAAACTTTTCCTTTATTATCTTTTTTATGTATTCTAGGAATAGACTGATTATCGGCCTGCCTGATTATCGTGGCCGATATTTGGTGTTATTCGATTATCAGACGATTATTGATAAATCAAATGCGCTACTTCAGGTCTGATGCAGCCGTTTAATCATTTTACGTATTCTGTTACAGTCACGCTGTTAAAACAATACATTTAATGTATATCAGTTCCAAATATCAGCTATTGGCCTTTCTTGATCCCCAATAATCTGTATCGGCCCTGAAAAACCTATATCGATCAACAGAACCCATAAAAACAGCCTTAACATAGCGACAGCCTTGGATTCTGACTCTGACATTTTATGTCACCAATCAGGATATTGGCGTATTATCTGAGCGCGCTCAGTGTAAACACGGATGACGGTGGCGGCGGGGGAGTGGCACTGCCGCCGATGGTGGAAACAGAAGTGTGAGCGCTAACTAAACTGGCATCAATAGCCAAGTACTGCCTGTGCCTTCCGACCACTTCCACCCCGTCAGAGCGCTGCCCCGGGGTGGAAGTGTCCCCCGACCGGGACGAATGTTCTGATATTCATCATTACTGGGCCTGAATATCCAGAGAGCAGAAAGTGCTATTGGGACCAGCCCTACTAGTTATTATAACTATAAATATGAACAACTAATGAGCCTTCCAGCATCAAGCCCTCCTTGTATCTGGACCTCCGTCTTGACAATCCGACAGCCTTGCTATCCGACATAAAAGAAGGTTTTACATTTAGTGTCGGATTATCGAGTCACGACTGTATATCCAGAGTTTTCTCTAAAAAACATGGAGGATCTTTTTAGTCTTATTAAATGTCCACAAAATAAAAACTAAAAATCCTCATATTTGAGCAACAGAAAGTGTCCTGGGCTCATATGAGAGGAAGAACAGCCGCCATGTTGTGTCTGTGCTCCTCGCTAAAAGCAAGCACCAATCATCAATGAGTCCAATGCAGACACATTTCTGCCCTCAGACTCCTCCAACAGCTTGACAACTCTCTGTTGACGCTCTCTGAATATTTTAGGGGCCTGAAAATGGGGTCACATTTAAAAAGCTAAAGAAGCGGCGGACTGAAGCGAGGATTGAAGGAGGAGGCTGCTCCAGTATTCCACCAACCGAATATCTCCACACGGAGAACCTGCACAGACGGCAGCAGGTCGGGGAGAGTCGCAGGATTGGACCGCGGCATGTGGGAGGCGGGGAGGTGACGGAGGGAGAACATGCCAACATATGGCTGCTCTGGGACCGGGCCAACCCCGAGGTGGTCGGATTATCTGGCCTCCTTCCTCCAGTCCACCTCTGAATTATCAATCAATGCAGTTCAGTTACCACCACGACGACACACGATGGGAACATGTTGGATTGATTGTTTTCATATAGCTGGCTGCCTTTTCTTATTGGTGTAACTGCAGTGTCTTAGAAATGCAATAAGATATAAGTAGGATATATTACTGAGGGTTTTAACTGGTCTGTAAGAGCTGCTGATATATTTGCACCGCTCACCACACAGGCTTTAATAAGACAGAACTTTATTAATGCTGAAGGAAGCTCCTGTGCCAGATATTGCTCATAAAAATAAATTGGGAATAAATGCAGTGTCGTAGAAAAGCTGTAAGATATCAGTACGTTACATTACTGAGACTAGAAAAGTAATGTTGCACATGGAAATGAAATACTGATAATTAAAATAATAAACTGCTGAAGTGCCACCTTCCTCTGGTTTCATGTATTTCTGCACTTTAGCTCCACTTGACAACATTTCTGGTGTCTTTTGAACCATGTAACTCCTGATCTGAAGTGAGAAATTGATTATTTTTGCAAGAGCTGGCTGCATTTTTTGACAAATCTTTTCTCATTCTTGTCGTCTGTTAATCGTCTAGTTGTTGCAGGGATTTATTCTCATTTTTTTCTATTTTTGACTACATGGAAATGCATTATTCTTAAGACAGAAAATGTGTTTTTGAACCTACACGCCGACCAAATGAACCCCTCTGATCAAGCAGCCCTGTTGAATATACGTTCTTCGCTCTGTGTGCGGCTCAAACTGCTGCTTTTCTTTTGTCTCTCTTCGCCACATATTCATAGATTTTTCCTGTCAGACAAAATCAAACGCTGCTGGAGCGGCTGTGGTGCCACCGTAATAAAAAACCTGAGGAGGGATGGATGTGGATGCGCCTGTGTGGAGCTCAGCTAATGAGACACGGGGAGCCTGAGGGTGTGTTGCTGTCTCGGTGGGGGGATATCGATCGCAGGCCTCAGCAACGCCACCGAAGAATCACAGCTTCTCCTCAGGCGCCACAGCGAGGGTCCATGTGAGCCCCTGAGCCCGGTACCAGCTCCTGCAGGATCTGACTGATCACCTACCTGATGGCTTGAACCTGCCACTTCTACACAATAAAATGCTCATCTTCACTTCCCAGAGCACAAAGAAATTCCTGCTCTGCAACCCATGAAACACAAGAAAATGACACTAAAGCAGAAAACAGTCAAACTAGACTCACAGGAGGATTTGATGTTTCCCTCATGAGGTGCAAATAAGTGAGTGTGCAAATGTGAAATCTGTGGCCAGACTATGAACTGCTCAGCAGCTAAATTATACATTCAAAAAGCAGTCATTTACAATGCAAATGTGCCGCTTTTATTCTGGAGACAACAACACAACAGCAGCCAGCTACCATTTTCCCCTCATATAGGCCAACAACAATGATTCTGCCAAACTTCAAAGTTCACTGGAAATATTCACCAAACAGCAGCTCATGTGAGGAAAAACTAATGATAGCGGTGCTGCTCCAATTAGATGAATCCCTCCAACAGCTCATTAGAGTGATAGAAGACGCAGTTAATGGAGCCACAATTGATTTGATTGCAGGGATATCACAGCAGTAAAACTGTGGATCGTGTTGGAGGAGACTACAGGTATCCCCATCAGTGCGTAAAAGCATATTGGCGCAAGGGAAAAGGAAATACTATGAAGCAGGCAGCGAGGCCAGCACAAGGCTGATGACAGCGTTCAAAGCTGTAACTCGTAAAGCCGCTGCTGCTGGAGGGATTATTGGCTGGAGCAGATCAGCTAAAAGAAAAAGAAAGTATTTCTAAAAACATGTTGGTGGCGGCTGCAGGAGCTCCCCGCTGCTCGCTCCTCCGGGAGCAGACACGCCCAAACACGCACCATGCCGCCGCCCAACAACACTCCGAGAGCAGCAGCCAAGCGCCGCTGCAGCGCCTGGATCAGCAGCTTCGGATCTGCGGAGAACCCGAAGCCCAGCGGGAGAGCAGGCGGGCAGGCAGGCAGGCAGGCGGGCTTGCAACAGCTCCGCCGCAGCCTCCCTCCGCCCGGGGCTCTTACCTGAAGCCGGCCGGGGACTTCACCCGGACGCTGCGGCCGGACGGCGGGGTGGCTTTCCTCTTGTCTCGGTCCGCCATGCCGCCCCGTTCTCATCGCTCCACCGTGCAAGCCGCCGGTACAGACACCTGAGAGATCCGCCGATGCCGCGATACCGTGCTGCATTCAGGGACGGTGGGAAAAATGAGCACTGAGGAGAAAAATCAATTAATAATTCAATTGTGTTGGAGGCGAGAAGGAATTAATAATACTAGAAACATGGCAGGGTTTCTAAATGTATGGAGAACTTATTTTGTGGTTTGTTATCTAAAAATCTATCATTTATTGTTTTATGTGCAAGAATGACAAGATAATACCGGTAAAATCTAAAAAAATAAAAAATAAAAAACAAAGGTAAAGAAATCTAAAAAAAAAAAAAAAAAAAAAAAAACACTCTAAAATCTAAATCTAAAAAACTAACTTAACTATTCTTGTTGGGTGCAAGAATGACGAAATAATATCACTGGTAACTTGACAGGAATTTTAAAATTTATTATATATTTTTTTGCTTTTTTTAAATTTAAAAAACAAGAATTAAATTGTGTCGGGTGCATAATGACTAATTATTACTGGTAACATGACAGGTTTTCTAAATTTGTTAGGATTTTTTTTAATCTAAAAAGCTAACTAAATTGTGTTGAGTGCAAGAATAGTAAATTAATAGTACTGGTAACTTGATACGATTTTAACATTTATTAAGATTTTTTGTGGGGTTTTTTATTATTTATTTAAAAAACAAAAACTTAGTTGTGTCGGGTTCAGGAGTGACTGATTAATACTGGTAGCTTGGAAGGTTTTCTAAATTTATTGAGAATTTATTGTTTAATATAACCACCACAGAATGCACAAAATAGCCAAGATGACATTTCACATTTTTAACTAACCTTTAATAATTGTTAAACATTGCTAATATAATTGCACTTTTGAAGACACAAACTTTGTCAGAAAATATAAAACTTCTTGTGCCACATGTTGCTCAGGAGGGAAAAAGCAATAACATGAGACTAAATGCAGTGTCATAGAAAAGCAATTAGATTTAGAAGAGGTACATGACTAAAGATAAGTGAATGCTTCAATCAAAGCAGTGTATTATCACATCATATAACAGCACATTATCGTTTGCACATTCTGTATCTGTATCTCTTATATTTTGTAAATTTTGTTGATTTTCTTCTATATTATGTTTTCCATATTTTTTATTTTATTTTACCTTCATTTTCTTCCCTATCCTAATATTCTGTGTTGTCTTTTTGCTTTATTTACCCCCTTTGTTGAACAGTCATGCTGCTGCAACACTCTGGGATTAATAAAGTCAGTCTAAGTCTAAGTCTAAGTTGACAGTTTGACACTTTGCAGCCTCCTGAGCTTTGCTTCCCACCACAAAGTGCATACAAGGTGCAGAAACACTGCAGAACTGAATAGTTTTTTCTGCAGTTCAACATTGTTCTTACCCATTGTTGAACTTCCTGCTCTGGCATGAAGGACCCCAGCAGAGCCAGGCTGTCTTTGTACATGCCTGAGTGGGGCAGCCAGGTGTAGGTCATCCAACCTGACCTGGGTTTGGTTTAGATGTATAAAGCCTACATTTAATGGTTGTGTTCAATGTTTTGCAATTTTCTACATTTATTTTTTTGTTGCAACCTTTTTTATTGTCAATAATTGGCCACTAAGGATACAACAGTTTAATTCTAAAGGTGTGATGTTGAGCAGATTGTAAATAAACCAATGTTTAGGATATAAATCTAGAAAATCTTCTCAAAGGCCTTCCAACAAGAAACTTCTGCTTTCTTTATTCAACAGATATTCCTTTGTATTTCTGGATATTATCTTGCGTTTCCAATTTTTAACTTACATTTTAAGTCACCTACAAGATGGCTTTAAGATTTTTTAGACAACAAACCACCGGCTGGATTTGTACGTTTACTTGTGGGGTTTGTTTACATCGACAACAAGCCACAGGTACAAGAAAAAACCTCACTGAAATTCAGCTAACGAAATGAAACATTTACTGATAATTGCTGTAAAAACCACAACGTGTAATATTATCTGAGGTGAGAAGAGATGGCCACAAATATTAAACAAGAGTGGCCCGCCATTTTTCCCATTTGCTGACATCTAATGTTCTGATTTTGGGGGTCAAAGGTAAAACCATTAAGTCCACTGAGAACACACATCCCCCAAGATGTTGATTTTAAGTTAAAATAAAGGTTTGAATATCCCACAATAGTACCTAATAAAACCTTTAAAAAACTACTGAATGATCTCAGGAAAGCATCGTCACAAATCTCCTTTTTTTTTTTTTACAGGAAGGTTTACTGAACGTTTCTGTGCGTTGTTAATAATTTGTGATTCTGTCTGACTACAAGCACTGGAAATAAACAACCCATTGCGTAGCTGACATTTAGGAGGAGACCCTGAAGGCAGCACCAGCTCCCACAGAGAGGAGAGGAGCTAGAAGCTGGATGGAAAACAGAGAGAGAGACAAACAGGGCTGGACATGAAGAGATGGATGTCAGGCGGCGGCATCGGATTGGATTAATCTGAAACATCTGTCAAAATATTAGTAAAAAAAACTGTTCTGCGTGTAACAGGTGTAACTTCTCATGCAGGTGTGTAAAAAAAACGAAAGCCTTTTAGTCCAGAAAGCAAATATTTTACAGTGTTGAAAATGAATGGTGCAGGATTCTTTTTTTTTTTCATTCAGTGCAAAACAAACCAACAAACAAACACATATTGGCTGAAGTGTGTTGTGCTCCTGAACATCCAGCAGAGGTCAATGCTGTGCATGGAAACACTCAGTACTGCAGGTAATCTGTGAGGAGTGATGATTAGACAGTGTAAGCACACAAAGTAAAATAAAATAAGGGAAGTTTTATTAAATTCACTCCCAAACCTCGAAGCTCACGTTGAATAAAAGCTCCAGCAATTTAAAAAAAAACCTGGATCAGCTCATATTATTATTTTGCATTTACAGTCTAACTTATACTGTCAACTTACTGTACCTACTGCTACAGCTACAAATGCAGTGCTTTGTTTGGTCCACTAGTAAAATGTTCTTAAAGTAAAAATTCTAGGACATTTTTTAGAAAAATTTTCCTTAAAATGATAGTTTTCTGTGACTTTTTTTTCCCCACCTGATTGTGTCCATGATTACACCCATTAATTATATTAATATTGCTTTCTATTTTCATACAGAAGACACACACTGACAATTCCCTGATAAACAACAACAACTGAACATAAACAGACTGAAAACATTTGTTCTAGTGCAGTCACTGATCCTGTAAACCTTTTTATTTCCTCTGTGAAAATGATCTTGTTCCTCGTTGTCTGACAGTATCAGCTCGTTTCCACACAACCACATCTGTAATGTTTATTCTGAGAGAACTATTCACACAAGCTTTAATTCACCTTCTTCTCCTTTAGTAACCGATATATATATATATATATATATATTTTTGCACTCCAGCCCAAATGGAAATAGTCTGGATGTCTTTTCTTGTCATTTTTTGTGGAATCAATTTTTCTGACAGATGGTTTAAAGTGTTTGAGTGTCTTTTTGCAGATTTAATTCAGTTTAGGTGCACAGAACGAGTTAGTGATGATCAGTCCACCTGTAGGCCACCAGAAATACCTTCAGAACACTGGACTGTGTTCTTTTGAAAGAGCAGCAGGGATTTGTGTTTCAGAAAAGCAGGTGTGCAGCTCATGAAACCCTGACTAATCCCCGACACCTACAGGTTGCACAAGTCAGCGCTGTTGAGTTCCTGCCAGTCCCTCTGGGTAAAGCAGAGCCTCTCTCTGGACAGGAAGCGCCAACCTGCTGAACCGGTCCTGGCCGCCGTCTCGGCTGCAAAAACAGCCCGAACATCACCGCCAAGGTCAGATCCCACAACTGTCAGAGCTGTGAGGGGAGGAAGCTGCTGTCTGAACTGTGGCTGTGCAGGTCACCTGCTCTCATGATGAACAAGACCATAGATTTCTACCAGCTTCTCTAATAACACTCTGTGAACCAAGACATGGATGGCTGCACTGTGCATGCTGCCTCTGCACCTCAAGTCATCCACCCAGGTTAACTTCTGTTTCGCCAGAACCCCTTCCTGCATGAGATGGTCTCTGGAGACCCTCTGCAGCTGCTGCACCAGGTCGTGTCTCACGTTGGCCTGCAATCACAGAAAGAGGTGGAGAGACTGTTTGTGAATTGTAGGAATATTCTTCAGTGAAGGGATGAAAAGAGTTTAGCTGGTCTTTGGTGCATAACTGGCTCCCTCATCCATGTAAACAGCCGATAGTGTTTGTTGTTGGAATGCGCTACCAAGCTAGAAGTACCACCACCACCAACCTCAGCAGTGGTTCCCTGCTTCCCATATACAAGAGTACTTCCCACAAGAATTAAGAAAGATTGTTTGGGCATCAGTTTTTAGCGTCAATGCACTTGGTCCACCGATGTTTCACCGTCACTTCAAGGAAGAACATCTTGAGCCTCCAGATTCTCCTCAACAGCATGAAGGATTTCATCATCACTCTGAAAATGGTGGACCAGGCAAGTGGGATTTCAGTTTGGGAAACTGACAGAAATCTGCAACGGTTCAAAGCCACAGCCAGCTGCTTCTGCCACCTTTCTTTCTATGATTGCTTAAAAAAAAAAGGCCATGATATAAAGCTTTATAGTATAAGCTTCGTAAATATTTCGAAAATGTAGATGTTGTGTTGAAGTCCAGCATTTTTTTCCCTTAGGAGACTATCTGTTTAATATACAGTCCAAGTCTCCTTGATGCCTTCCAGTTTATTCCTCTGCAAATCCAGAGGAAGGGACTTCAGTTTCTGCCCTGACAGATCTCAGATCTCTCCCAACTGTTTTCTTTGTTCAGGTTTACAGTTCGATTAAGATCTGGGCACTGATTCAGAAACCAGGCTTACACTGACCTGCGCAGAATCAAACCAGAAATCAGGTCATGCTCCTAATTAATAGGTCCAGAAGCTGTGCTTACTGAGAAGGCATCTCAGGTCTGACAAAACAGATCCAGTCCAACTGGTCTGCTGCACTTCAAGTCTGTTTTCTCCACTGTCAACCACAGATATGCTGTTCACTGTACAATCATTTTCCTGTCCTTGAACAAGAAACATACATTTGCTGCAAAAACATATTTTTCGTCTTTATTTTTTTTGTGTGACTTGATTTCTTTGCTTTATCAGATTGAAAATGCAGCTTTGCTAAATTACCAAGTGTTTAGGGGACTGGACAATTTAAATGTTAGAGCCTATAAAGATAATTAGTGACACGTATTTGTGAGCAAAATGATGAGTTCTTGGGAACAATACTGCATGTTTGAGTTGAGGAGCTAAATGCTGTGCCAAATGCATCATGCATTGGCCTAAAAACAAATAGTAAAGGAAATATAGAATGTATGCTGAAGTTAATATACTTTCTTTAACAGCAGTTACACACCTGAGCATCAGTTAAAATGTTATTCTTTATAAAATATGTTGGTGTTGTCTCAGAATAGTTTACCCCTCACTTTTACTCTTTTTATTATTAGATTTGACGAGGAATACATGCTGACACTTTATTTCTACACTGAAATATATTAACAACAGTGACTCTTGTAAATCACATTTAATGTTGTGTCACATTAGTTGTTTGCACCATACACGTAGCATTAGAACAAGAAGTTTAAAAAGTTGCTTTGTGACATTTCATTCAGTTCAAGCATCATTTAGAGTTGAGTTTAAACAGATGGTTACATCCAAACTAAATCCTACAGGATGTGCTGTCATAGAATTACAGCAACAAAACACACACAAACACTACCAAGTGAGATACAGTCATTTATAATTCACTATTTGATATTGGGTCACAGAGTTTTGCAGAGGAATCCAAGATTTAAATAGACACAGCTTTAAATATCACTCAGTGTGTGTTTAGTGATCAGCAGACACAAAGAGAGACTAATCATTACATTCAACAAAGTGTGCATAAATACACATAATCTCACATAAGCACCATTGATGTAGTTCTGTATATGCATATGCATAATTTATGATGGCATCGCTCGCTTAATTACTTGAGAATTTAAAGGGGCACTGCACCACTTTTACACATTAAACAGAAGCCACGATGACAAAACCTGTAGTTTTTGGTTTTTGGTTTAAGAAGGCCGCCGGTTTGCATCCCAGTTAGGACACCCAGGATCTTTCTGCGTGGAGTCTCCATGTTCTCCCCGTGCAGCGTGGATTCTCTCCGGGTTCTCCAGCTTCTTCCCACAGTCCAGAAACATGCTGAGGTTAATTGGTGATTCTATAATTGTCTGTAGAGTCCGTAGAGTGTGCTTGGTTGTCTGTCTCTAAGTGTAGTCCTGTGATAGACTGGTTACCTGTCCAGGTGAACCTGCCTTCACCCTGAGTCAGCTGGGATAGACTCCAGCCCCACCGTGACCCGAGTGAGGATTAAGCGGTGTGTAGATGATGGATGGATGGGCTTTCACAGGAAGATTTCAGATTGTGACAGGAATGTTTTGAGATATAGGGTATATATATATATATATTTACCAGTCAAACAAGAGTTAAAAAGGACTGAATTACAGCGCTGTACATTGCACTTTAGTTTAAGAGCTCACTGTGACTTTTTTTTTCAAATTTCAAAAAGAACTGTCCTTTTTATATAGTTTTTACGACTACTTTTACCACAGTGCCCCTTTAAAGCTGTTGGTTCTGTTTCTTGGTTTCCTTAACAACATGTTTCCATATTTGAATAAAAAAAATAAATCAGCATTGGAATACTTTAATTCCATTATAGCCTGAGAGAAAATATCACAACACATTTAATGCTTCCATGTTGTAAAGTGTTGGGCCACCGCCGGCCACCAAAGCAGCTTCAGTGAGCCGTGGCATTGATTCTCCAAGTCTCTGGAAATCCACTGGAAGGATGAACACCGTTCTTCCAAAAGATACTCCCTCATTTAGTGTACTGATGATGCTGGAGATGGACGTCTAACAAGTCATTTCAACATCCCTCATAGGTGTTCAGTTTGGTCAAGATCTGGTGACTATGAAGGCCATATAGCCGATGATCCTTTTTACACTCGTCACACCATCCAGTGACCCCCTGTGCAGTGCAGTTGGTTGAATTTTCCTCATGACTGCTCCCATCAGGATAGAAATGCTTCCTTATAGGATAAAGGTGATCCCTCAGAACACTTTCTATTGATGAGCATTGATCCGTCCCTCCAATGGGACCAGGGGACTCAAGCCATGCCAGCATTTGATTCAAGTGTCTGGCCATGAATTGTTGTTCCACAGTGAAGGCAGCAGGAGGTTCCTTTCCATTTGGCAGCCCCATTTGAATACATCAAAGTCCATCAGTCATTCTTTGGCATGCATGAGCTTCCTGTCGCACAAGTATCTCTGGACCCATCCGCTGGGATTGACATCGAGCTGAAGAAAGCTCTGCAGCCATGGACTCCTCTGTGCCCCCTCGAGGAACTCCTCCAGAGTAATCTGACCTGCAGCACAAACAGAAGGGATTATTTGTGTCTTAATGCTGAGGAAGCTTTTTTTTTTTTTTTTGCAAAGGTGAAGAAGTCAACTCACCATCTAACGATACTAACGACTCACATAAGGAGGGGGAGGAGCAACAAACCCCCAACTGAAACCAAAACTCAGGTGTTCCTTAAGGATATAAGTATCTGGAACTCCCAGCTAGTCAGTCAGAACTGATGAAGCCTCTTGGATGAGAGGTGGAACGTCTTCAAGGAACTCAAGCAAGTCCAGTTGCTACGATTAATCTACGAGAACAACCACGACCCGGATGACTGAGAATATTCACAGACATCAACTCACCGTCGTTGTTGACGTCAACTTCTTTGAAGATGCGAGTGCACACCTGGTCAGGAGTGAGGTTCTGTGTTCCTTCCTCATCAGTAACAGATCCTTTCTTGATCTTGTAGATTATCTGGAAAACACAAATTGTAGACTGTAGTTTAATCACTAGACACATTCAGTAGTTGTGTTATTATCCACTGAATATTATACCGGTCTACACCCATTTTGGTGTCAAAGTTTTTGAGCTGATTTTGCACAGTTGCAATGTGCTGAATCCAAACATTACATTGGTTTTGCTCAGTGAGGTCAAAATTTTGATTTGTCGCCACATGCACTTGTTTCTTTTTTTTTTTTAAAAAACATTTTTGTGTACATGTGCGGGTATCTGTGCTTTGTATCATCCAAAATTCTTTTTCCATTTTCTGAAATGAACAAATTCTAAAACCTTTACAAGTTGATTCTATAAATATGTGCAGGTGAATTAAATTTATGGTTTATGAACAACACATCAGAGTCACGTGATTGTATCAAGGTGAACATCTGAGTGAACACCACCGGATGGTGTGATCATAATTTTAGTTGTAGTTTATGATGTATGTAATTTATAGCTTTCTCTGCTTCAGCATTGTTATATATTTAGTGTTCTTTGCCTCAATACATACAGTGAAAACAAATGGCTTCAGCCAGAAGGGCTTCTAGAAATAAGCCTGATGTCAGGTATCAGGGATGCAGTCATGATGGCTGATTACTGCTGGACTCTGAAGAGAGATTTACCTGCTGCTGATCATTCCAGGAGGTCCAAGAAGTTCAAGTTCAAGTCCTGAATTTTGAGAAATGCTGATGAAACATGCAATTTACTTGTATTTACCTTTACAAATGGCTACGCTCAAAACAGTTTTTATCCCACTACCATAACCCTACTGAAAAGCTGAGCCACTCGAAGCCACAACTGCTATTTGCACTTCCATTTTGCACTAATGTACATATACCTTTTTCTACTAGATGTGTAAATTCTTGTATATATTTGTCTTATTATCTTGTTTTATTTTTTATTAATATTTATTGTATTTTTTATTCTTTTCTTTCTTTAGTTATTTTACTTCATTTTATTTTTTAATTTTCCTATTTCTATTATTCGTGCAAATTCCTAGGGCGACATCAACAGCCGAAACCAAATTCCTTGTATGTTGTGTACGTACTTGGCCATTAAAGCTGATTCTGATTCTGATTCTGATCAACTTTTGGATCATGTAACTTATGAAAAGGGATAGAAAATGAATTTTTTCCTCTAAAATCCGATTTCATATGAGAGATACTAAAACAACTCAATCGCTAATATCAAAAAATGTAATCGATTTAGTGGCAAAATCAATCTTTTTAAAATCAAGTTGGCATAGAAACCTGACCTGATACAGAAAAGCAGATGTCATTTTTGGATTCAGCGTTGCAAAAACGTCCTAAATCAGTTAAAAAGTCCTAGACACCTTCAAAAAAATATTTCATTGTAACCCAGTGTTATAAACAACTCTAAACATAGCCAAACAGTTTGCTGGTATTTTATCAAGCCTACATTAACATCACACAGAACATGATATTACTGCTGGATTTACTGACTGACGATTTAAAAGAAGGACGGTCTTATGAAACACGCATGTAAACTGAGGTGATACCGGTTTTTTCTTGAGATTGTGAAGAAGTGATTTTTACCGTTACAATCTTTCGTAGCTCTCTCCTGTCTAGACGGCCGTTGTCATCGCCGTCAAACACCTTGAAGGACCACCTCAGCTTGTCTTCAAGTTTTCCACGTAGAACGAGGTTGAGTGCGGCCACATACTCTATGAAATCCATTGTGTTGTCCTGAAAAAAGTGGAATGTCATCATTGAAACCTCAGAAGTATGCTTGAATAAACTAGGTCAGGGTACATTCAGCATGTTCCTTCAAGAACACAAACAAAGTATGAAATTCCTGCTACTAAAACGGACTTTGGTTTGAAGACCATGACGTTGTGCTTCAGCGCGGTTTTGCAACTCACATGGTTCATGTCGAACGCTCGGAAGATGTTGTCCATGTACTGCGCCTCCGGTGTACCGGGCTGTACCCCGAACATCCTCTTGAACTCGTGCAGGTACAAAGATCCACTCGGGCACTCCATGATGAAGAACTTGTAGAGGTCATGGATGCTGCTCAGCTCCAGCTCCTCCGCTGGCATCTGTGCTTGCTGATTTTGACCCATGCTAAGTCTAAATCCTACAACAACGGTACAAACTCTAAGTGTCTTACCTTGTTTGATAAATAATTACATACAGATGCTTTAGTAAAGTAATATCCTAGAAATTGCCAGCGTTTCCTGCAGCAAGAAGCTCTGCGTCCACCTCATGGCTGCTGTTGAAGGAATCTGCAGCAGCTCAGGGGTCGAGGATAATAACTGGTTCATGTGATGCTTGACCCCGACCAACAAGTTTATTTTTGTCCCAAGGCTTCAGCAAGCTGTGTTTAAGGCAGTAATCCACATGCCTGATCCCATCTTGAACCTTTGCTGACCTAGAGTCACTAGTGCACTTAATGCCACTGCTTAGTGTAGTGATACCTCACAACAGGGCTCATGTTGGGACATGCAGAAAGTACAGTTTAATGTAACTGTCTGCATGTTAGTGGTTCTGTGGCTGTTGGGATTGTCAGAACCTGGATTCTACGGATTTAATTCACTTTTACTCAGAGAACGTCTTTCATTATCTTTCCCGAGTTTGCCAACCAAGTCGAATTTATTATGTTTACTATTATATTAGCATTCACACATTCTGTTTCTTCCTTTTTGATTAATGCGAGTTATTCAGGCTATTAAGGTCAACATGTCCTCCGTCCTTTCTGTGATCGAATGATTGAAAAACATGCGTCCTTGTCACAAAAAACAGTCGAGCATTTTGCGTCTTTAATCGATTTATTACAGGTCCTCTGGAAATGTGAGAAAATCATAACTTACGTACAGCAATGCTAATGTTTAAATATTTAAATGTACCTTGGTTGTCTTCAGTCCACAGGTTCTTGATGGAGTTTAGGTTACAACTCTGAGGAGGGACGTCTAAAACCTTCATTCTAGCTTGATTTGTCAAAACAAATAAAATAAAAAATGACCACTTTTGATGTGTGTTTGGGTCACTGTCTTGTTGTAACACCAACCTGCATCCAAGACCCAAACTTCTCTCTGATCATGTGAGGAATCATGTTTCTTCATTATTCCCTTCATGTAAAGCACAAGATCTACTGGCAGCAGAACAGAGCATGATGCCGCCACCTCCATGCTTGATGGTAGGTTTGGTGTTCTTGGGGTTATATTTCTGCTCATTGTGGCCAAATAACTCTAATTTTTGTTTCATCTGACCACAGAACTTTCCTCCAGAAGGCCTTTTCCTGGTCCATGTGATCAGCAGCAGGCTTCAGTCGAGCCTTAAACATGCTGCTTCTAGAGGAAGGAAATCCTTCTTCACTGACGGTTGTGCTCCAACAGTTTCTAATTCATTGCAGAACAACTTTTTGGTGATTCTCTGTTGACTCTGACCAATCGTTTCCCAGCAGCAGGTGATTTTCTACCTGATCGTGGCAGTGACACACCAGGCACTTCACACTACTACAGATGGTTTTGGCATCTGATTTGTTCAAGTCAGTGTGATTTGCTTCGTCCGATCTGTCGTCAGCTTCTTAGACTTTCCTGTTAAAGTGCTCGTGGCCGAGTCTGTCTGATGAGTGTATCAAATGACAACATCCCTGTTTAGACAGGCTCAGAGGAGTCAGCAGCTGTAGTCGGTCGTAATCACGTATGAGAAGTTAAGAGGCATTAACACAACTTTCTGCTTCACCACAACTAATCATTTAAGTTGCTGTATGTATATTTTTGACCCAGCAGCTTCTGTCATGTTTCCTGAGAACCTTTGATAAATCTATAAAAGAACCAAAATGCCCAGTTTATTCATTTATTTTTGTGATAAAGATGCCTGTGTTTCACTGATTAAATAACAGAAAATCCAGAGTTATTGGAGTCATTGGAAACTCCAGGCTGCCATGATATCAGTCATTACGACCCCGTCAAACTGAAAGTAGGTGTCCGTACCACTCATCTGTTCTTACTGTTTAATTGAAGAATAAAACTAGAAGAAGAATGAACCCTTTATAGGTGCTACTGATTGAAACAACAGAATTACTCAGGTTTTATAATATTTTGTTAATTACAGGCCAGAGGTAAAATCTGTAATCATTTACTGCTAAATTTGGGGTTCTATATCTTGTAAATGTTATACAAGATTATGGATATGCAATACAAGGGTGCCACTAAGTTGATGTTTTTTTTGTTGAATTTCATGTTATAAGTCTATTCTTATTCTATATGTTTGTATGCATCTGAAGCAAAATCCTAAAATATAAAAAAATAAAACACAGAAGTACTAAAGAAAACCAGAAGCTAAAATCAAAAAAGTCTTGAAGGAGAAGAAACAAACATGTCGTCATCACTGAGAGGAACGTAGCAAGAGTTCTGTAGGAATAGTTTTAAATCAAGTTCTAATACTTTTATGTTATCTGGTCATGTTTCATGATGATTGGAGGTTGTGAGGGACCAAGCAGGCAGGCACAAGGAAAACAGGTTGAAAGTTTCAAAAACTAGGTATTTATTAAACAAAAACACCAAAAAGATAAAACATAATGAAAAGCAAAAACAGTTCTGGGCCCATAAATAGAGGTCAACTAAACAGAACTGAACTAAAGCAAATCCCAACCAAACCCAAACAGAACAGAGCACAAACTGACCAAACACTAACACACACACTGGGGTTTTTTAAACTGGCTGATCAGACCATTAAACAGGGGGGCAGACAGAAACAAACACGACTAAACAAAGCACAAGAGACAAAAGGCTGGGTTTAAGGAAAAACAAAAACATATATTCTACATAATACTACTTATATACAAACTCTAACAAATGCTTTTAACAGTAAACAAATCAAATAGTGAGGAGACTTCTTTTTTCCCACCCTCCTGGAGCAGCCACAGTTCATCCCTTCCAATTACCCCTCATCACCAGGATTTGGGGCAGCTGGGCACACTGGCTCCTCTTATCTGGGGCTACACCTGGAACTAATGGTTTAATAAAGAAAAGAAAGTAAACAGAACACACAACGACAAAGTAACTAGAATGTGCGCGCTAACAAACTAGAAACAATGTTGTGTATAAATAAAGCTGAGCATGGCATATGAAATCAGGACTATGTGTCATGTGATTTATCTGTCAGTTGATGTGTGCGCATGATGACTGTAAAAAGTGCATAAACTAAATGATGTAAATCAAAAGGTGTGGAGAGCAGGCAGTGTGGTGTGGGGATACTCCTTGTGGGGCTGCAGAGCGGCCATCACAGAGGTCAAGACAATGAAATAATGTGAATTAAATGTCCAGTTCATCAGAACTTACTCCATCTCCTACAAAGCTAATGAATGTTTTTTTTCTGAAAAGTCAGTTCTTGTTTTTTAAATATTTTTTTGGTTTTTCTTTTTAATTTGTGGTATTTCATGAACTTTTTTCTGCTGACAATTCCAACACATTCATTCTGTCACAATAACAGCCTTCCATCATCTGAAAAACATCACCCGCCTCCGCCCCCTCTCTCCCTCCCCGCAGCAGAAACCCTCATTCACGCCTTCATTACGTCACGCATTGACTTCTGTAATAGCATCCTTTTCGTTACCACCACCAACCTCCTCAACAGGCTACAGTACATCCAAAACTCTGCCGCCCGCCTCCTTCAAGACCTTCACTGGCTTCCCATTCATAACCAGGCCCCCTGCTCCACCCCTATACCCCTTCATGGACCCTCCGCTCCGCTAATGCCAACCTCCTGATTGGTCCCAGGACCAAGCACCGAACCTGGGGGGATAGGGTCTTCTCTGTCGCTGCCCCCCCAGCTCTGGATCTCGCTCCCACAACACATCCATGACACCACAGACCCAGTAAAATCCAAACTAAAAGCTCACCTGCTTTTCTTACTCAAACCTTCATGTTGATGTCTTGTGTTGTTTTTATCTGCTTGCTTGTATTTTTGCTTCGTCTGCTTTTGTATTAGTTGCACTTGTTGTTCTTTTATCCTGAGTTTTTGAAAAGCGCTATACAAATAAAATGTATTGTTATTATTATTAATAAGGAAAATTGAGAAAAGTTTAATAAAGAGCTGTGTTTCAAGTCGAGGCCAACAGACAATGGCTGGTATGGCTGGAAGCAGAACACAACAACAATGTTAACGGGTTTCTTTATTGAACTTGAAGTCATGTGTATTCATATCTGCCTTTAAATGTAAAGTAAACCGATGTTACTTCACAGTACTGTAGCACAATATGCATAGTGATGATATATGATGTCCTATTAATGTTATCATTTTCTTAAAAATGAGCAAAAATTAAAACAGTAAAAAAACAACAACACACAATTAAAAAAGCTCAAGGATTCAGTATTTACACATTGACACTTTACAACAAGAAGGCTGAGACTTAGAGTTAGCATGCGACGTGCTGTTTAAAACTACACCAGGGTTTTGTTTGAGTAGTAGTTACAGATAGCATAATTAAGCTTGACCATTATTACAGCTGTCATAGAATTATGTACACGAAGAAACAAGCAGCGATTATACATTTTTATGCTCATACTCATTTGTAACTGTTCCTTTACGACAAGACAAATGATGGCAAAACAGACAATTTCACCACCGGTCTGTGAATATGAACCTGCTGACAAGAAGAAATCTAGATGTTCAGATGAGTTTTAACTCATGTGTTTAACACATTTTACAGATGTAATCACAGGTCTGGATTTAAACCATGGTTGTTCCACTTTTTTTGTCCACGTGGGAAAGGCTGAGGTGTTTTGACACTTCAGAAGTGCGCACTCTTTCTCCGGTGCTCTATCACCCATCGGGCCGGGTTCATGTCCAGCTTCAACATGTTGAGCACCCAGGGGTCCTGCTGTGCACCTCTGATGAACTCGTCCATGGTGATGTGACCTGTGGAACGAGAAAAAAGGCAAAACAGAGCTGATGTTTTCTCCTGATACAATACAATCTGTTCTCTGTCTTTCACTGCGTCGACTAAATGCTCACCGTCTCCATCGCTGTCGACAGCCTCCAATATTCGATCCACGACCTCATCGACCGTCAGCTTCGAGTCTTCCGTGTCCGTCTTGGAGCCTTTCTTGATCCGGTAGATGCTCTGGACGGGCAAAGATCAAGAAATGTTCATTTTTAACAAGACATAAAATTGTGTCAACCCCCTTTTTTTTGCCACGCTGCTGCGATGCACGACCTTCTCATGAAGATGGAGATGTTTTTAGAGGAGGGGCATAACGTGATAATTAAACACTCTTTTATTGATCACCTTCTGAATATGTTGTGACCACTAACAGATAAAATACACAACAACAGACCAGCAAAATTAATATAGGACATATTTAAATACACTTAATTTATCGCCATAAAAATGGAATTCAGCAGAGAAACAGTAGAAAGAGTAATAATGACCAAGATATCTCCAGAGTAGAGACATCATCAGGTAAACAAAAGCAACACTGGATGCACGTTCACATGAAGCACACTGAAGAAAGACTTGTTTTCCTCTGCGTGTTGTGCACCTGTAATAATTGCACTCCTCTTGAGAACTAGAACGCCTACAGTCCTTGACGATACTTGTTTTCTTTCTTCTATCTTTGCTTTGCTCAGCTTGAAAACTCTTGACTGGATTATGATGCGTTTATTAAAAGTGGCTCAGTTTTAAATTTACATTGGTTCAGTTAGATTTATAGGCATGTCACAGGTGGAAAAGTGCAGGATTAAGTTAGACGCTTTGCTTTCCTCACTATGACAAGTCAAAATGAACTATTAAGGTGCTTTGTACTAATTCACAGAGCGACCGTAAATATAGGAGCGCTAGAGGGAAAGCCAAACTTGGTCCTTCTCCAAAAACACAGTTTCCTAGATTAAGGTGTTGAAAATACACCAGCCCTGCTTAAATTTGGAACCTGAGACGAACTACAACACTGTGAACGAGGAAATCGTCTGTTTACAAGCTCATTTTAGTCGCATCAACACCCATAAAATACCGATATGTTGGACTTACATCTATAATTGACCGTAGCTCGTCCCGGTCCACGTAGCCGTTGCTGTCCTTGTCATACACCTTGAACGACCAGCGCAGTTTGTGCTCCAGGTCGCCCCGGAAAACAAGGTTGAGCGCCGCCACAAACTCGAGAAAATCTATTGTGTTGTCCTAAAAGAAGATAAAACTGGGTTACATTTGAACATCCTGGATCGTGTGCAGTGAGCTCGTCTGTCAAAGCTTCTCTTGCAACTCACCCCATTTTTGTCAAAAGCTCGAAACATGTTCTCTGCATACTCGGACGCCTCCCCTGTTGGATCCACGCCGAAGAAACGCTTGAACTCGTGCAGAAAAAGTAGTCCGCTCGGGCACTCTAAGACAAACCTTTTGTACATATCCTGAAGGGCTTTGACATCAATCTCCTCATTGTTCTCTGTCTGCTGTGCCTGCCCCATAGCTGCCCTGAAGTTTAACAGTCCATAGTCCTGAAGCCTCTGGGTGTCGTCCCCACGATGGAGCGTCCGGTCTCGAAATGGGCATCTCGAAGCCTCGGGTGTTTTTTATAATGCTGCGGAATCCCAAAGCTGCTGTTGAGGCAGGTGATTAGTGTGGCCTCGGGATTACTGTGGTGTTAAGTTGGTAGGGTTTCCTCTCGCAGAGTTAATTAGGTTTGCTGCTAAATGTGGGTCTCGGCCAAACTTGGGAGAATGTATGCACTATTCCAACACGCAAATTAACGGTGTGCACATTCCAATTAATGGTGTCTGGGCTAAAAATGAAGAGAGAGAAGAAACTGAGAGTCTAAAGAAGTGTGCAAGTGAGGATTGGTGCTATGTTACAGGCAAAGTGTGGTTTCTGTTGGTTTGGACTCAACAGTATCTTCATTTTTAGCTTTACCGCCAAAAACATTTGCACATTTCTGTAAATCTGTCTCTTCAGTTTATAGATGTTCTGCTTTATTAACCAACTATTGGCAAATTTGAATATGTTTGTTGTTTTGATTGGATCAGGTCATGTTGGTTTATCTTTTTTTTACACTAATTTGCAAACAAAACCAAAACAAAGAGCCACAAACATTATTAACAGAGCTCTAAAAATGAATTGTGTTCTTGTTGTTTTTGATAATCCTTTAACTTTTCCTCTGCTGTCATCATCAGATCACTTTGCTGATTTGTCTTTATGTCCCAACACCTGCATAAGGAACGACATTTAAAGCAGCATCAGTTATAGTTTGTGCTTCGACTTATGCGCCTGAAGAGTTAGAAACCAAACTGTGTTCGTACGCCTCTTCTGTAAACACTTTGTGTCCATGAATCTATCTGCCAAATGGCTGATGTCCAACTCTAATGCTGTCCTTAATCAGTCTCAGTGTTGCTTTTCTGTTTAGAAGAAGCTAAGAGATTAAGACGCTCCAGGTCATGCTAATTTGGAATTGGTGTATCAATCTCGTTTAATTGCATTAGTGCCGCAGGGAGGATCCCTCAGTGTGTCCAAATTAACCATGAGAGTCCAGGAGGAGCTGATGTGGCTGTTTGGATGCAGCATCATTTTACAGATTGTTTAAGTTTTCACTCTTAAAAAAATGAACAGCAATCACACAGCAGCCTCAAAAATCTAATTTTTATAAAACTAATCTGCATTTTCAATAACATTTTGAAGGAAACATTTTCTCCTGCACTACGTTTGTTTGTCATGGCTCACAAAATGTTTCTAATTAATTAATTTCTAATTGCCATTTATTGTATTTCTTTCCTACTGTTGCTCCATCAAACTCAGACTCGTTTCCTAAAAGTCTAGTTCCTACACAACTAAACTATATTCTCAATTCAAGTGTTTTCTCCTGGATTACACTTGTGGTGTGTCACAAATGTGCTTCTAAACAACACATCTAGCTTTCCAATGATCACACGTCTTCATCAAACCAATCTTATATTAGATGGGGTGGGACTTGTCACCCCGGTAACCAACAAAATGGAGGAGAAACTTCAAATATGATGTGAAAGGGTCATCCTTTACCCAAAGACTATAATGTTTTCCAACAACCTAACCAAGTAATTTGTTACCTAAACCTGATCGAGCTTCTAACATGTAGTAGTTGTTTTGTTTTTTTAACCCAAAGCAAGATGATTCCTGAACCTAACCAGGTGGCTTTGGTGCCCAAAGTCAACTCTGTCTCCTTAAAATTATGTTTCTATACAACTAATCGGCCTCTTCAGTTATGTTTTAGTGGAAAACATGTTTTCTCCAGGATTATGTCTGTTTGTGACGTGTCATGGAGACTTTTCTAACCCAGAAAATGGAGGACAGGCTTCAAAAAAGTTGTGACAGGGTCCGATTTTAACCAAAACTATGAGAATTTTCCAAATCTAACCAAGTTATTTTGGTACCTAACCCTAACAAAGCTTCTAATACGGTAGTTGATGTTGCAAATTGGTCATTTTAAAACCAAAGCAGGATGTTTTCCTCAACTAGCCAAGTAATCTTGGTGCCTAAACCCTGGAGGATAGTCTTCAAACATGTCGTAAAAGGGTTATACATACAGAAAACTATGATTTATTTCTAAATATAACCAAAAAAACCCGAAACTTAACGTTCTGATTAATGGTCCTACATCCCGTATGACCCCCAGTCTCTGTGGTGAAGGTCGTGTTGGGGACTATACCTGCCCTCCAACCTCCTGATGCAGACTTTAGCTCTCTGGAAGTATTTCCTACTATATCAAAGTCTCACCTTTTGGGAACCTTTGGGAAGTCTCTTGGGTGAAAGTCCTTGTGGCTCTTTCAGACCAGATTTCTAAGACTGAAAAATATTTGGGGATGTGTACAGTTTTCCTTATTTCAGCTAAAAGCCCCTCAAAGTGACCTCAAAGTGAAGAAGGTCTCGACAACCTGGCGGATGAGCTTGCAGCCCGTTGATCAGCCTTCGTAGCTCAAGGTCCTTTAAAGGAGATGCTTTTTCCCTTTCAGATGATCTGATGAAATACAATAACGCCGGTGGCTATCGCAGACTGCTTACTGTGTGGTTCTTTGTAATTCTGATGATGCAAGTGCAATTTCTGGACAGAAAACAAAACAAGGAGAGCTAAGAAGCTGCACAGGGGCCTGCTGAAGCGCTACAAGCAGCGTTAAACGTGATTGTAATCAGGATGAGCTGCTTCAAAACAACAATCCCACATGTATGGTTTGGGATTCCCTTCATGCTGATGTCTGTTGGTTTGTGGTCACTGAATTAACGGCGTGATCCACTCCTAAATCCCTGAGAGGTGATTGGAGGTTACTCTAGATTATCACACAGCATGATGTCCAAATAAGGGCAGCAGGAAATTAAAATACCTGTAATTAAATGTGCAGGATGTGTAATGATAGTTTAGTGTATTTCTTTGTGCATATGTTTGATATTTATTTTGGAACTTGCAGCAGAGGATAAACGTTTATTTGCTTTATTCTTTTCTCACAGCGTTTGAAAGTAGCCCACTGCCTCTTTAAGCAACTTAACATCTTGGTGCTCTTTTTCATACATATTTTGATTTCTCTTCATCACTTCCTCCTTCTTCTGTGCTGTGAACTTAAATAACTACTTTTTCTTCTGTTGATCTGATTATGTGGCTCAGTTTTTTCCCCTGAGATGAAGTGCAGCAGAAACAGACTCTAGGAAGATTTTTGGTGCCTTTTAGTGAATGTTTAAAGTGACACATGCATACTTTCAATGCCTCAGAATAACAGAAAATACAAAATTGGAGGCTTCACAATGCATTTTATTCCTCATAAATCCCAAATACACAGTATACTCAGAGCAACCAGAAGTGTTCGGACATGTAAGTAGCACTTCTCTTCATCTGGCTTTTGCATTTTGTTCCGGCAGAAACTTATTTTATGTGTTTATGCTCTTCGTGTGACGGTGATCACATCCAAAAAACATAAATATAAGATTAGATCAGAGGGCATCTGGCATTTTTAACTTCATCTGTACCACAAACTTGGAAAAAAATAGCTTTAAATGCAACATTCCTCACAACTGGAATAGATTACATATAAAGGCTTTTACACTTTTAGTGCTGCTTGTATTTATTTAGCTCGATATGTGCACTGTTCTGTGCATATAAATCATCAGTTTTATGTTCATGCACACAACTTTTCTCTGCCTGAATGCTGCAACTGTCCTTCAAGGAATTAAAACCAGCTAAACACAAGCTCTACTGACTTTCAAACAAGACGGGATGAACCACAACCTTCGACCACTTCACAGTCGCCACTGTCTTTAAACGACGACGTCACCGTGTGCCGTACCAGCCAATCAGCTGTGGTTTTGTTGAACTGTTCAACTGAAGCTGTGTTGGTGCTGCTGAGGTCAGTGCCTGGGTAACCAATAAGCAAATATCTGCTCTTTAATTTCAGATCTTTATTTGCACTTATGGCTTTTCTCGTGTAGGACTCCTTTGCAGTTGTATTTATTTGCTCCACTTTTACTGTAACTCGATATCTGTATGCCGATATCACACAAAATGACCTTAAATATCCTTTTATTTTTGATTGAGTCCATTAATTAATACCACATGTTGCTCCATACAGTGTGCATGTAGGTAGTCTTATTATTTAAAATACCAGAAACAGGACAAGCCGTCGTAAACAGACACTCGGTCAGCCTTTAGGGTGGATCTAAAATTAGCATTTCAATCGTGACCAAGTTTAGAAACGGGTTTACTTAGTATGCCTCTAAGACGATTTATTGAAAGGCATCATGGGATTTTCTATTTATGTCTTCAAGTTTCCAAAGAAAAGCAGCAAAAGTAAGAACAATAAAGTTCGCAGTTGTTTATGATGTTGCATCTATACCTGTGTGGGATTTTTTTATGTGTTTATTTCATTAAATAGTGCATTGAATGAACCTAAACTACTTTGGTAGATGCTTGTATCGGGGCTTCTCACATCAGCCCTTTACATGCCTGGAAATAAAAATGTACTCAAAATGTAGTTTTACTAAACATCTCACCAGTGCTTCAGCAATAAACTGAATAAAAATGAATCAGCTGATCAGAATATTTAAATGAACTAATTAAAAGTTATGTTGCTTTAATCAAAACAAAGACAAACAGAACCGGAGACACCGGCTGAGGGTCACTGTGGGAGAGTTTGGGTTTCTAATGTGTCGGCTGCTCCTCAATAATGTTGAGCCAACAGACGAGCAAGCCTCTAACAGGATTATGCTCCCGATGAAGGGATTCTCCTCACACAGGTGTAACTGGGGCTTCTTCTTGACCTCGTTTAGCCGCCCGTTGACACATAGTGCAACTTCAAATGACACAGCTCGTATTTAGCTTCACGTAACACGATTAATATTCTATCATTCTGGAGATAATTTATGCAAAATAATCAGTTGCAGGTTCTGACATTTTCTAAAACTGTCACTGCTTTGCTATCCAGAAATGTGGACTTCTTCTTCTTCCTTTTCCTATTCT